GCCGAGCTCCTGAGCTTCCCCTGGAGTTCCCTGCGCGGGCGAGCCCAGCGCGGCTCTCGCGTCATCATGCAAGAACCGAGGCAGTCGGCCCAATTTGAAATCCCCCCATGCCGGCGAACCAGAGCATTCGGACGACTCCGAGTACGTCGGGAAGTTCTGCTCCAGCGAAGTCCTCTCTCTAGCAAATTGTTCCACGTCGGGATACCTCTCGCAGCAGATTTGCCCGAGGAAATGTTTCAGCTCCGCCGCATTCACGAGACCTTCCTCGATTTTCTGGGCGATCTCCTTCAGCGTGGCGAACTGGTGCAGGCGCTGTACGAACATGAAAAAATGGTAATGCAGCACACCCGTCGTTTTCTGCGCCTCCACGGCGCCGAACAAAGCGTCCACGCGCCCGGCAATGCCTCCCATGGCTTCCGCGTTGCTGCCGAGGGCGTCCTGGCGCGGCGATGCAGATTCCGAGCACTGCGGACAGCGAGGGCACATGCGCACTCCGAGCATCGTCGCCAAGACCGTGCGGATCTGCACGAAGAATGCGTTGGAGGCGGCCAAGGGATCTTCCGCGAGGAACAAACGCCGCGTCCACTTCTGCCTCCTGCTCTCGCCTGCAACGAAAGGATCGTCCTGGCAGTGCCTGCTGAGCCTGAGCGCTAGATAATTGTGCCGCTCTCCCGGGGAAATGGTACAGAATATGCCATTCCCGTAGTTGACGCACGCCCAGATCCCCAGGTGCCCAATCTTCGTCCGAATCTCCTGCGTGCCCGGAATGGCGCGGCATCGAAAGCGGAAGTCAGCCAAGAGCCGCCGCTGCAGGTTGCCGAGGCCGACTGCAAACATCAGCTTACTGGCATCATTGTTGATCTTGCGGCGTCTGCCATCGGGTAACGTGTAGTAACCCTTCTCGAGCTTCTGCAGTAAATCCGCAGCGGCTATGGCAGCGTCGGTCTCCACGCTCTCGGCGCTTTGGCCTTGCAACCGTTCCCCTCGCTTGATGCTCAGGCTTGCTCCGAGATTGACTCACTCACGAAAATATAGATTCCACAAGGCCGGCGCGAAGCCCCAAGTGCGTCGGAACTGGCCCTCTATCCGCTGCGGCAAGCCGCGCGTGAGGTCAAACAACCTCACCGTGGTCGCTGGCCCCATCGCAAAATGCGCGTTCGGTAGTTTCCGCTGGGCTACGCCCACTGACGGTTCGAGCCAACTGTGCAGAAGCCCACGAGGAGTTGGGAGATCCCTCGTCTCTGGTCGACACCAACGAGGTTGGTTCGGGACGTCGTATCCGCCAACAGCACGCGGCAGCGTGAAAGGAAACGCCATGCCCAGGTACCAGGCGGTATGCTGGTTGGTCAGGTCCGTCCCGCTCTGGATGTTGACATCGCCGAACCTTGCAAACACGGACTTGTAATTCTCCGAGATGTTCGACTGGGCTCTGGTGCTCCGCTCAGCGACGATATAGGACGGGCTCAACGCGGAGACGAAGTCCTCTACCGGTTTTGCCGGCTCTGGAGGCGTCGCCACTTTGTCCTGAACGATGGAGTCTTTGGCCCCGTCTAGCTGTTGTACCGCATCCTGCACTGCCTGCGGTATGAACTTCGCCTCCCCGTACTTATCTGCATATTTCTGAGAGTACCTTTCGTGGAGGCGGGCTGCCACTCTGTCGAATGAGTTCAGGCCGTTGTTGCCGTAGCCTGGATAGCCGCTGTCGCGCATGATCTCGATCAACTTTTGCATTGCCGGAATGCGCAACGTGAGCCCTTTCAGGTGCTGCGCAAGGTCTTTACTGCCCCCCTTGATGCGCACGTTCACCAGCATCGCCAACGTTTCCTCCGAATGTGGCACACCGAGAGCATCCTGCAGCAACCTCAGCCGGCCCCCGTGGATCTCCTCGCCGTGCTGAGAAGCTTCGCGACAACATCTCTCGATGTCGTCCCAGGGCATGGAGAAGCTGAAGAGATTGCCCTTCACCAGCGTTCTGGCTTCCGGCTTGCCGAGCGGCACGTCGATGAGGTTGCCGTACGGGGCCTCCAGGTAATAGACCAACATCGTACTCCACACGGTGCAGCATGCCGCGCACTCCAGCCACGTGACGTCGTCCTCCAATGTATCGACTCACGTGGCCGTAGTAATGGTCGTTCGCTATGCTCATAGGGATGGTCCCGCCGTCGAGGAACGAGGATGCCGCCTCGTGATCCCTTAGTTTCCAAGCGCAGTCGCGGCAAACAGGCACCTCGCACTGCGGGCAGAGTTTCCTGCAGAACGGCGGCGTCTCCCAATCCTCCGAATGTCTGTCGGGACACGCGAGGCATCGGACGTCCTCAGTGCACCCGAATAACTTCCCTGATTTGCCTTCGAAGCTGAATTGCACGGCCCACCGCGACACGTGGCGCTCCTGGTTTTCAACGCAGGTGCTCAACGGTTCACTTAACACCTTTTGTCCTCTCCACGGGTACGCCTTGCTTGTCTCGAGGTCCCGATCCACGTACCGCTTCTGCCATGTATCGAATCCGCAGTTGTTGAGCAGCGTCCCAGGGAAGTTTTTTTCAACGTCCTGGAAACCCGCCTCTTTCCAATATATTATCTCGACGTTGCCAGACGCGAAGGAGATGGAACTCGACTCCAGGTCAACTGGCGGGTACCCCGCGCACGTCGTGCGAAGTTGGCCGCATATGAAGCAGGCCAGACATCTCGTCGTCTCGTCGTTGTACCGGATCGCGAGCAGGTTCAGGGATCGCCGAGTTGTCGACAGTCCCAACATTGCCCACCGCTCCCGCTCGGCAACGGCCATGGCCCCGTATACGTAGTCCAAGTTTGTCATCCAGCGAATATCGTTGTTGCAAATCTTACTTATCATACTGGCATGCGTGCGATCCCTGGCGCCCCCAGCAATATGGTGCAGGAAAACTGTTCGGTCACTCGTGTGGAAACGGCAAGGCCCGCTCTGGTTGTTCTGGAAAGGACACGAGCACAACGGCAACTTCACTCCAATTTCCAAGTCGGGAGCTGTCCAGGCTGCGCCGTCAGCTGTCAGCGGCAGCGTGGGCCGTTCTCGCGTGAGTTTGCGCAGTTCTCGGCAGCGCCCATCAATCGCATCCATTTCCACGGGCGCTCCACGGGCCTGCTCCACGTTGGCGCGAACTGCAAAATATTGCTCCTCCACGCCGTCGTCTCCTTCGCTTTCAGATTCCTCGCCGGCGCCTTCGCTAGACTCCGAAGCGATGCCTTTGTCTCTGTCAGTTGCCTCGACAGCCGGCGTTCCTGCGTTGCCTGGGAACTGAAACCCCAAGAAATCGAGCACGTCCGTGACGCACTGGCCTCCTTCAGTCGCCGCGACAGCCGGCATTGCCGAGGCTGCGCCCTGGCTCTCCGCCGCACTGACGTGGTCGTCGCAACCGGCGTCGCATCCACTATGCATTTCGACAGCCTCCTTCAGATGCAATCCAGACCTTCCGCCGGTCGCGCGCCGTCCAGCGCGCGCCCCAGGCGGCGGCGGCGGCAGCAGGGCGCACTCGTTACTCTCCCCGAGCTTCTCTCGTTCGACACACAGCACAGAGCAACGTCGAAATGAGATTGAAGAAGGCAAAGCCACACGTGCTGGCCTTCGTTGTCTCCCGCGTGAAGCGGAGCGCCGAAAGCACCCCACTGCTTCGCAAAAGGTTGGATCAAAACCCAAAATGACCATTCCATATCGCCCAGCACCTCCTCGGAAGACAGCCTCCATTTGAATATTTCAGCAGTGGGGCCGAATGCGTCGCGGAGGAACGACGGAGCGTCGCGCTTCAACCGCTCTCCCCACGCCCACTCGCCCTACACGGAATGGAAAGAATAGCGCCCGTGCCGAGCTAGGCTCACTGCGTAAATGGTAGGCGGAGCTAACTCACAGCCACAGGGAGATTCCTGGGGAATGGCCGAGAATATCTTGTGCCTACTTGTGTTGGGCCACAATGGCTACGGAAAATCGTCAGGGAATCGCAAAGTCTTCGACCCCTTTTTGGCAAAGTTCTTCTGGGCCCTACCCTCTCTCACACTCCCTTGTGAACCTCCGTCCCTTGTCACGACTCCCAGGAACCAGCAGTAGTGAAATCCCAAGAGCCCGCACGACTACTGAACCCGATAGGAACCAGAACAAAGGCAGGCACCAGCAAAGGCGACATCGGGGGAACCACCGAAGGCAAGCTGACAGGAACTGGCAAAGGAACCAGGGCCCAAGAAAAGCGAGATCCCAGGGACACGAATCAAACGAATCAAACGAGGCAAAGGTGGAGGGGGACGACTGTGCAGAGGACACATATGTTTTCGCACAGGCCTTCGAGCCTGGTCGACTAGGTCGAAGAGCAGGCAGCGGTGCTCAGGCGCTCAGGCAGCGGCGCAGCGAGAGATCTCGGCGATCGGTGGTCCCTCAAACGTGTGGGTAGAGTCTGGGTCGACGGGCAGCGATATCACCCATTACTGATTGAGCGGTGTATCACAAGGTAATCCCACCAATGAACTTTCACTGAGTAGAGTCAACAGCACCATCACCTGCCAGGGTAACCAGCACCATCACAGAGTACAGTAACCAGCACCAAAGAACCCAAGTACGGGCTCCAGCCAGTTTGCAATACGAGTCCCACCAGCGGGATGTTTCCTGTACTGGAGCCCACTCGAAGCGCCTCGGAAGATGAGTAGAGGCATAGCCACCATTGGAAACATACCGAAGCCCAAGCCGTGTATACAGCAACCACGGACCCCATTGAGGCAACATCCAATGTCCAGCCTCACTGTGCCCAGAGGTAGTCTCGTATAGCAGCGTCAAATCCATAGTGGTAAGTATTGACCTCACCAGTACTGGAGGAGACACCATGCACCATCTGAGCCCACTGCCTGACACCCCAAAGAACCCAGCATACACCAATAATAGACAATACCGGCGACCACCTTGCCGCACACGGTAACACACGATGAACCTAAACGCACGCGCTGCCAAGAGCCACGCCGAATCAGTGGCACCGAAGCGGCGCATTTCACTGGATAGTAAGCTGCTCGGTTTTCGCAGTGCCCAACATAGCAGGCTGGCCGATGGGGATTATCATTGCATCCTTCAAAAGATAAAGCATGCCCTTGGAATTGCCAATGGCCCCGCGGCCTGTCCCGTAGTAGACCGCGACGTCCTGGAAGTTCCGCAGCGCCTGGGACTCCGCATTGTGCTTCATGGCGCAGCAAGTGAAATAGAGGCCACTGTTGTCCACTATATCAAATATCCGTTTCGCGTTCCCCCCTTGCGACATCTCCAACGACCGCAGATCCATGACTTTACCTCTCACCGACAACCGAAATGGAGGGTTCAATATGTCGCGGAGAGATCGAAACACGGAAACGCAGCAATCCGAAGGTGGAACCGCATAACTCATCTTGATGAGATTGTCCGACGTCGGTCGAGACAGAACCTGCGCCGTCGTGCCCATCTCCCCGCCGACAGCTTCGATCGACGTCAACGAACGAACTCGCGTCAGCAACTCCCCGTTCCAATTGTTCTTCCCCGCCCCCTGGATGCGAACCATAGACAGGTCCACGACGCACGGAGCAACCTCGCCCCGCTGGCGACGCTCCTGTACAGCGCGCCAGATGCTGCAGATATCTTCAGCGACGTCACCCCATAAGCACGCGCTGATGGGCCCCGTCTTGTCCACCATGACCACGTCGGCCGCCTTCCCTTCCGAGAACGGATCCTTGCGCTTCCGCGGAGAACCCTCCGCGTAATGTACATCGCGAGGACTATTGTCGCATACAATCAAAACGCCCTGAAAATGACACCTGCCACCCTCCTCGGAAGACTGGAGAAATGCCAGCGCAGATTTGTGGGCAATCTCTTCGGGCGCCGAAGAAGCCGGACCAAACGCCTGCCCTGAGAGAATCAGATCAATGCCAGACAAACCAGAAGGCGACGCCGCATCTGACAGCTGCGTCGACCCATGAGCCACGGCGCTCTCCTCGGCGTGTCGGGGAGCAGAGTCCCCAGGACGAACCTCAGAAATGCTATCCCGCAACAAGGCGTAGTACCGGGGTGCCGCAAACTTTTCTGGTGGCTCCGATGGTAGCATTCTCCTCTGCTTGGCCGTGCGCGATTGCACATGCTCGCTGTATTGCTCCGTGACGCCCTGCACGGCGAAAGTATGATCAGTCGCGGATGCCTTCAGAAGGAATGTTTTACGCTCGTCTGCTTCGCCTGCAGAAACTCCGAACCCCGGGTTCACCATCGGCCGAAACGCCACGGTCGCGCCCAGGCCAGTCCCCGCGTTCTGGCGCGCACCCGCATCGCATGTCTCGCGCACAATGCGAAAATAGTCCTCCTCCGAAAACTCCCTGAAGCTATCATGAGCGTCCGCCCCGCTGAGTTCGACGACTTCAGCAATCTCCTCCCAAGCTGACCACAAATTCTTGTCCAGCGACTCCAACTATTCAGGCCTCATGGCCGACGCGGCATCTCGAGCGGAAACCTTCTTCTCCCCGTCGCCGATCGACTGCGGGGAGATCAGCGGGATGAACGTTGACTGGGCAAACCGGTGAGCAAATGTCCTGGCATCAAGCGATTGCTTGGCGAGAAATTCACGCACGTGCTTGTAATACAAATTGAGGGCCCACTGAGCATGCTTCTCGTCAATCGACGTCGCTGGATCACCAGGGCTATTCTTAAAGTACGGCTCTTTCTGATAATCAATGTAGCTCTGAATCTGCACAGCATCCAACTTCTCGACGAGACTCATGGCTTCCTCGGCGGCATTCTGCTCGTCGTCCGCTCGCAACCCTATCGGGCGAATGAGCGGGAATTATTTCGCCGCCGCTCGAGAACGCAGATCATCCACCAACGTGGATATGTCCTCCGCCAACTCCTCGCCGCCAGAACCTGCATCACCCAACGATTCGAGCAGCGTCGTCAAATCAGCCCTCGTAAACGATTTGTCGAGAGGCCAGCCCCTGCCCTCGAAAACCTTCTTCAGCGACTCCACTGCAACCGCTTCGGCACTTGCGCCGCTACTCGCAGCATCGGCGCGACGCCCTTCCAGGAACGCGTGCAAGCCCTCAACGCCAAGCTTCTGCATAGCTTTCTCTGCCGCGCCGTCCGCTTGCACAGCGATGTTGTCGAAAGACGCCTCCACAGCCTCGTGGAAGGTCGGAGTGGACATGGCCAGGGCCCCGCGCTGGAGGATTAGCAACCTCGCTAAACGAAGTAGAATCGGAAAAGCTGAGTGAACAACGGCTGAGCTACGCTCACTACCGATGATCTCAAAGGCGCGCTCGACTCGAGCCCGCGGCTCGCAACAGTGCGCCAACTTTGCGTGCGCGAACCGTACGTGCGCCAAAACCCACTAGCAACGCACTGCATGCAACAACCAGATCTGCGACGAGGATCACTCAAATCCGCAACGACATGCAAATCGACGTCGCCCACATTTCCCTCGTTCCCACATGTGTGATGATGTGGCATGACGTAGGATGTGGAATGGACAGTATGATGAGGATGTCAGTGGTACGATGTGGCATGGTATCACGGGTGATGCAACTGCTGTTCGATGTGAGGCACGATGACGTGTAAATTATAAGTTGGACGATGAGTTGTTTGCTGACGTGTAGGATGTTAGGTAGTTGATGATCGTGTAGGATGATGTTGTATGACGCGTAGGGTGGTGTTGGCAGTCGCGAGCGGGAGTCAGGGCACATGCCCAGGGCCGCGTCCCTTCTCTAGGGCAGGGAGTGGGGGGGCCATAACACACACTCATGCACTGTGAGCCAGCATGCGCTCATGCACTGTGAGCCAGCAGATGCGCTATGGAGGATCCTCTTCCCGGTCCCTCGGGCCATCTTGGGGCAATATTGGGGCCTCTTGGTGCCTCCTGGGCGCTTTTTAGGGCCATCGAGGAGAGCTTCAATTCGCGCTGCCCCCTCGGGCCCTAGATCCCGACGAGCCCCGACTGGGAGAGTAGGCAATGAGGGGCTCGTTAGTTTGAGCGCCCCTACAGAAGCAGACCGTGCTCGGACGGCATCGTCGCATGCCTTCGCTTTGCCCCGCCGTCCAGCTACAATGGGTTCCTGGGCACTGTAATGTCGTGTCCACTGTCAGCAACGTGGAGCCACGCAGTAGGTTACCGTGAACATGGCAATGAGCTGGTCTCCGAGACAGGAGGAGGAGGAGGAGGAGGAGGAGGAAAAAGATGATGGGGAGGAGGTGAGCGAGGGGGAGGGGTAGGAGGACGAGAAGGTCAAGGAGGAGGGAGCACACATGCGACGCATTACACGGATGCCGAGCTGAGCTCGCTGCACAACTACTAGGCGGATCGAACTCAGAACCACAGGAAGAGTGCTCATAAGCGGAAGCGATTGCATGTAGGCAGAGTTAAACTCACAGCCACTGTTCAACACTGTGAGCCAGAATGGCAACAGCGACGACAAAGCTGCAGGAAATATGGACTTGGGCCAGTTCTGGCGGCTTGGTGACTTCGTGTCCCTTCTTGGGAGCCTCTTGGAGCATCACGAGGCTGCTGCGGACCTCTGGATTTCCTCCAGCGGCTTCCCAGGAGCCTCTGCCAATCGAGAGCGACAAGAGCGACAAAGCGATAGCCTGGATCTGAGAGTCTACGCCTTCTCATCCAGACACGGACGCGTCTAGAAAAACGCCATGCGTCAGCTGATGGCAGCTCACGCACTCCCACACCTCACCTCCTCCCCCTCCCTCATGACAATCCATTCCCACCCTCCTCCCTCAGGCGCGGGCGCGCACTGCGCCCACGACATGACATCTGCCCGCTGTGCGCTCGAGGCGCATCTGACGTGCCATGTCGAAGAAGGGAAAGGTGAATGAAGAAAGGGAAGCGCGATGATTGCGACTACTGAGGTAGCTGTGTTCCACCTGCGCATTGGATGCAAACGCGCGCTATGCCAACGAACCGTTGGTCTGCGCATTTCGCACCATACTGCGGCCATGCCGCTGCAATGAAAAACGCGCGCGCCGCCGACGAAGTCAAACACTTTACTGCGCCAGCTGAAGTGCACCACGCATGCCCCGGTACTGACAGCTGTTCGCAGATGCACAGTCCGCAGAGTGCCACACACAGAACTGCGATTCCAGGTCGAGCATCTCGAACGGGGGCAGCCGCGGCGGTCCGGCCCAATCTGCACGGATGCTCTGCGACAGCAGCGCCAGCGCCGTGTCAGCCCCAGCCAAGGTCACGCTTCGACCCACGAGCAGGCGAAGTGCCGCCAAGCCTGTGGAACCAGCGAAGCCGCGGGTCGCAACTGACGTCCACTGCGCCAGCTCCAGCTGCGACAACAGCACCGGCATGAATTTAGCTGTGTATCCCCCGATTGGCAGGCCAGACCCGCACAAAGCATCCATGGCGCTCGACGCGTTGCCTTCTTGAAGTAGAGCGTGCGCCCCGGGGGCTCGGCGTGCAACACCAAGCGCTAAGGATGCAAGCCGTCGAGCTTTGCGCCGAGCACACGCCTGGGTGCCTGTGAGAAGCGACCGCCCGCGGCAAATGCGAATGCTGGGGTTCGCTACCTGCGCCTCATCCGCGCGCGTTTGCAAGAGTCTCCTCACCAGGTCGCCGCGATAGGATGCGGTTGTGAGAAGAACGCCCACGGCTTGCACCCATGCGTCCGTCCAGAGAAGGCACGCAGCGCCGACAACAGCCAAAAGGGCTGAACCATTCGTCCTCAGGCGCCGCAGCTGACAGATAACTGCGCGTACATCACGAGTGACGAGACACGACGCGCCGAACGGGATGAAGTCGACGACCCTGTCGCCGTTCCGAATCGCCCGCTGGCTGCGCCTGATGGTGCTCTTGAGCCACGAGACGAAGCTAGCACCTGTGACGTTTGTCATCCGGCGCGAGATATTGCCCTTCCGCTCCCGTAGGCCAGACTGCTCGCGAACTTGGCGAGCATGGTAGCGCCCAGACATGTGGATGTCATACTTGCGCTTCCGCGTTCCAAAGTCCATGCTGCATGTTCTGCACCGCCACGGAGGGCCCTCGCACTCGCCAGACATGGCTCACACCAGCACCTCCATGCCCACCGCGCTACGGTGTTGGAAGGCAGAGCGTCCGTGCGGAGCTAAGCTCACAGCGAAAATGATGGGCGGAGAGAACTCACAGCCACTGGGAGATTGCTCGTAGGCAGCAGCGATTGCTGCTGGCCGAGCTAAGCTCACAGCCACACTTCATCACTGTGAACCAGAATGGCAACAGCGACGACAACGCTGCAGGAAATGTAGACTTGGGCCTCTCCTGAGCGCCTTGGTGAAATCGTGGCCCTTCCTAGAAGCCTTTGGGGCCTCACGAGGATGCTGCGTGCCCTCTGGTTTTCCTCGGCCAACTTCTCGGGGGCCTCTGCAACCCGAGACCGCGCCATCTCGGTCAGCATTTCTTCGGGACCCCGCTGGGAGCGCTCCTTGAGCCTTCTTCGGGAATCTGGGGAGCCTCCTGGGCCGTCTTGGGGCTTGGGCCGTCTTGGACCGAATTGAAGAGCCTCCAACGCAGTCCGAGAGCGTCGGGGAGCGGAGACAGCGAAAAGACGAATAGCGTTACCCTCGCGCGAACTGTATCCTCATACAACAATCGTGAAGGCGTTCGTGCGCGCACAACCGCAACTCTGATCACGAGACGGAGAACAAGGAGGAGATGCCCGAACGACTCAACTCCTGATGCGATTCGTTGAGGCCCCGACGGGCGTCGCCATTTTCAACGAATGCGGCGGAAGACGCGACGAAGAAGCAGGAAGACGAGGCACTGAAACATACACGGCGGATGAGCAAACAGAACAAAGGATAACGTCCAGAAGAAGGAAGAGGAAGCGCGTCGTCGATGAGTCCTCATCGTCGACGTCGCCGTCGTCATCGTCGTCGTCGTCGTCGTCGACATCGCCGTCGTCGTCGTCGACGACGTCGTCCTCGTCGTCGTCGACGTGGTCGTCGTCGTCGTCGTCGCCGTCGCGTCGCCGTCGCGTCAGCGTCGTCGGCGTCGTCATCGTCGACGTCGTCGACATCGTCGTCGTCGGCGTCGTCCACCGATTATCACTGCTGAGCAACGACGTCGCTCTCTGCTTCGGCGCCTTCTGTAGCCGACGGGCTTGAAATCTCATCGCCTCGCTGAACGAGCCCTTCACGTCTGCAGCCTGACCTTCTGTCAGATACGCAAACTGGTTCCCTACGTCCTCAGACTGACGGTCCTCGCGACTCTTCCGATGCGCCGCGGCGCTTCGACATTGTACATCGCATCGTCATATCGTACATCACATCCGCCGACATACATCTGGACACCGCTCAGGCCCTTGTCCTTCATGGCTGTGGCTATGCGTCTGGACTGGCATACCTTATTGAAGCAAAGGTCGCCGTCTTTCTCTCTGACCCAAGTTCGCCATGCCAACTGCGCTCAGGCATTGGACTGAAGAGCGTCCGCGCCGAGCCAAGCTCACTGCGCAAATGGTAGGTGGAGAGAACTCGCAGCCCCAGGGAGATTGCTACTAGGAAAAAGCGATTGCTGGTAGGCGGGGCTAAGCTCACAGCCACACTTCAACACTGAGACCCAAAACGGCCACAGCGACGACAACGCTGAAAGAAATATAGACTTGGGCCTCTCCTGAGAGCCTTGGTGACCTCGTGGCGCTTCCTGGGAGCCTTTGGAAGCCTCGCGCAGCTGCTGCAAACTCTTTGGATCTCCTCCGGCGCCTTCCCTCGGGCCTCCACGCCCCGAGACAGCGCCATCTCGGTCCGCAT